GAGTTACTGCCTCATCTTCAACCTACTGTACCCTACTGGTCACGGCTTCCCACTAGAATTCCAGGTTAACTACCTGAGTAGGCCAGTCCTTAAACGAAACAGCTGTCCAGTACTCCCAGTTTTTCCAGTGGTTCTCTAACTGATCTCATCTCATGATGAAATCCTCCATGCAATCAAACAAAATCCCTAAAAAACCAATAATTGAAAAATACAATTGTTTATGGTTATTTTAACTAAACAGGTGGAAATTAGTAAGTTTTGGATAGAGTGACGTGACACAAAAACGGTCAAGAAAATTGGGTTTTAATGAAACTAGAGTAGTAACAAAGGTGATGAGTTGTCACAACCAGTTGTTGAAGAGAAGTCACGTAATAATATGAATAGTTTGATGATTGAGTTGTACTCAGGACACACTTAGGAACAAAGTAGAGAATAAGAAATTATGTAAGAGTTCTAGATGAATACAAAAATTATAAGCAATTGAAGAACGGGCAAAGAAACAAAATTAAGTCATCAAAAATCATCAAAGTTGTTACCATATTAGTAGAAATAGTTGAGTAATTTTCTTCTGTATGCAAAGCTCTGGTTTTTCTACGTGAATGACCAGAGCTTCAGCGATACAAAGAAGACAAAACTGTATTGCTTTTCGCAGGTTATTCTTGACTCTGTAGATTACTTTGAGGGAGGCGTTTGTTGAGATGGAATCATCATTGCCAACCAAAAGACAGACTCTACGCTGAAATACGCGTTTTTTGTTTTCAAAGTTTGGATAGCTAAAAAAAATGCTTTTTTCTGTTTACAAAGGTATGGCTTTTATATTTTGACGACCGATACTGTAACAATACAAATGAGTCAGAAACGCATCGATTTTTGGCAGGTTATTTCCCACTTCATGGATGACTTTAAAGAGAAAAACTGTAGGTATTAGATGACAAGTATTGACCAAATATTCAACCATTACGCGTCTTAAAGTTCCACTTCCATCTCTTCGTAACTACACTTGATAATATGCTTGCACTATCTACTTGCGACAAAACTCGCTTTGAGAAGCGGATGTATATAGTTCCGTATGAGTAGGTGAACTAATAAACATAAACAGAGTTGGTTAACCTCGGGGTCTTTTCCAGAACAGTGTTCTCAACGATTCTTCTCAAAGACTCTGTAATCCATTTTTTCGAGGATATCTTCAGTAAAGTCAACTTTGAACCCACTGTTTCATGTGTAGCATTTTCTTAGAAACAGAAACGTTAAATCGCATTTCTTAGGTTTTGACCGTGGTGAATCTATAAACTGGCATCAATCAGTTCCTTCGAGGCTAAGTATATGCTTTACCAATGAGTGTCAGTAAGCACGAAAGCTTCCATACCTTTATTTGACACCAGTTGACTAACACATCTTTAATATATATAGATATATATTCATATATGTTACAGGATTTCATCATAAGCTGACATTAGTTGAAGAACCACTGGAAAACCTGGGAGTACTGGTTTGAGACTCTTTATCAGTACGCACTCACCGGGGTTTGAGCCCAAGACTTTCCGGTGGTGGTCGCGCTATGTTGTGAATTGACAGAAGTTAGAATTTTATGGGCTGGTCATTGGAGCGGGTCCCAGTGGCCTAATGGTATACGAGCTCACTAGCCTTGTAACCAGAAGGTTGTGGGTTCGAACTTCAGTCAGAGAGTGCGTCTTGCTGAAGAGTCCCAAACTATGATGGATGAAACAGCTGTTCAGTACTCCCTGTTGGTTTTTCAATGGTTCTCTAACTAATTTCAGCTCATGATGACATTCTTTAATCATTCAAATCCCAACACTTGAATATATATATATATATTATCCTTTATAATTTTTGTTAATTTACATGAGATAATAATTTATCCAAATAAGGAAGGCGCAGAAATTTTAAGAAAAGAAAGAGACATTTGTTGTTGTACTTATAACCTTTTTGATGAGTTTAAACAAAGCAAATAAACAAGGATTGGATTGAATAAATAAATGCACGCGTCTCGTGTTTACTAAACAGTTCCAGTTGTAGTCTTAGTAGTAGTAATAATAATAATAATGTCATAGAATGAATGAAGAAAAACAGGATATACTTGTCATTCCCTCCTATCTGAGATGAATTTATGATCTCAATCATTTTCTGCAGGTCAATGCTGTCAAATTTCAAAGAATATCAATGACAGTAATAATATTTATAATAATAATAATGGTATCAATAATAATTCCAATAAAAGTCCAGGGAAGGGAGGAACCGGTTCATTGAAATTTAATCAATAAAATAGGCCTATTTACGATCATGTGATTTCATTGGAGGAAGGAGATCAAGAAAGGCAGGATGAAGTGATAGGTCATTCGATTTTAAACAATGAAACGACCTTAAATAAAAAAAATTATCAATATGACGGTTAGTAGAAAGTTGAATAGATGAAGACATGAGACGGTAATTTCACTGTTTTAAATTTTGATAACGAACTGACTTTGTAATAGCAGAAGACAAGGGCCAGGCAACAGATCGTTTATTTATGAAATCAACACATATTTATAGATTTTCATGTACATAATATACATTATTGTTAGTAGACAAACACAGTCTTCTGATTGGTTGTTTCTCAATGAAAGTTAATCTTTCATCTCTTTATGAGTGTTTCTTGAATGTCAGATCACCTATGTGCTAATTGTGTCCCCTACGCGACGTCTGCAGTGTTTGGTTGTTGAATCAGTCTTTGTTCTTATTCTTCTCACGATCAATATTGGGGACGTAAAGACTGACGTAAATTGCTGTCTACCAATTTAGCTAGCAGCCAGCTTCCTTCAGAGTTTCTCCTTATTTCCTGGAAATAAAATTTGAGTGGTTATGAAGAGTCACTTCACTTAAGCTGCGGTGAATACTCACTTTACTGCACTTCCTAAGCGAATTGTTAGTATTTCACTGATGTTATCAGTGAGGAACTGCAGTTTTATGAACAAAGGCTCACACTGACTTGCCTTGGTACACTAAATTCATATTTTGATCAATGAAAGTATATGGATAACTGTTTTAGCTAAGGTAATTCTCTGACAGTCTCAAACTCCTTATTGGAACAGTCTTTTGAGCAGATTATTCTAGCTGTACTCTAGCCGAATATCTTACTCAACTGTGCTGATATTCCATAGTTAGATTGCTCAGAATATAAGTGTAGTAACCGTTTTCTTTCCCATTCCATGGTGAAACATGTTACAGGATGGAAGCATATCACTTCACCTGCAATTTTAACAACAATCGAAACGCATCATACATGTAATGACAGTATAACTCCAGTTCAGTGATTGCCCATTTCCGGATGTCGATCCTCTAATTTAGCAAGGAAGCAACTAAATAGAATTCTTATTAATGATGACTTTATAACCACACCATTAATTTGTTTATAGACTCCCTTGTTGAACATGAAATGAACATCTCAATAGAAGTCCCCTCACAGAAATACCAATGTCTATGTTTCGTTCAATAAGATCTTTACATATAAAACCGATTGTTTCAACCATGGGTACATATGGGTATCAACAAGATACATTAAACGATATCATGTAATTAGATGTATCATGTAATTTAGATTTATTATCATCATTCCTTTGGATTCTGAGTGGGGCATACGGCTTCAACAACACATCTCCCCTCCATACAATCTCCTTCACGTCATCCTCCCACAGACAAACCATCCGTCAGTCCAAATAAATTGGCAGAATTTGGAATCCATTGGACACTGGATTGGATTCTCTAACCGATATCAGCTCATGATGAAATCCTGTAACCATTTCAATTTATGTTTTGTAATCCATAACTGAAAGGGTAAAACACGATGAGAAAAATAAACCAAGTTCACTTCCATATTAGTTTGTTTATTAGATGTATCACACACAGTGAGTGAAACAGTATAGCTATTTACTGAATGACACAGTCTAGAAGACTATTTATTCTTCATAATCATATCAAGTGTAATCACACGACATCGAAACTTGAGTTTTATGGTTTTCTTTTTCCTCTCCTATTTGTCGTCTTTGGGGTAGTAGAATTTTCCAGATCTCCCCCTGGACAGGTGTTGAATCATTCCTATCACATGTATTTGCAATTGATTCGATAAACAGAGCTTCCGTTATCACTGTCTCCCTCCACCTTCGGAAGCCTTAGGCAGAATTCTTAAAAAGGCAGGAATACAAGTGGCTGGCATTCAAACCAACCACAAATTCAACTAGAAACAAGCTTCGTCAGCTAATGGATAAATCCTGTGGAGCCTTTGAAACAAAACAATTCAGTTTATCTTTTACCCTGCCTGCGATGATTTTCAGGTCAAATACATAGGTCAAAGTAGTAGATTAGGGGCATTCAGACTAGCCGAACATAAAAACCTAGCAAAATCTAGATTGGTTGACTCGAAGAAGATAAGAAATCTAAAGAGTAGTTCAAGTATACTGCTCACTTCATGCAGTTACACACAACCATATAATAGGATGGATTGGATAGGATGACAGTTTTAAAATCTAATGTAACAGGGTGAATGGAGGGAGAGACTGATGACAACAGAAGCTTCGTTTATCAAAACAACTGCGAATTCATGTAACAGGAAAGATTCAACACCTGTCCAGTTGAATACTTGGAAAATTCTACTCCCCCTACGATGACGAATAGGAGAGAACAAAGAAAACTATAAAACTCAAGTTTCGAAGTCGTTTGATTAAAATTGATATGATTATGAACAGTAAATTTTGTTCGAAACCTTGTCATCCAGTAAATAATAATACTGTTTTACCCACTGTGTGATACATCTTATAAACAAACTAATATGGAATTACTTACTACCAAAGTGCCCACGTTTTACACATATATTGAAGCCAAGTTCACTTTTAATTTTAATTTCACTTTATAATGAATGATAAAAACAGTCTGTAAAATTTGATTTGGAAAAAAATCGTTTTCTTTATTTTTCTTTGTCTGGATTGTTATGGGGAAATCTTATGCAGTGAAGACAATGAAGTTCTTTCAACAATGAGTGCAGGCGACTTTTTCGGAGAAATTGGCGTACTTAATTTGGACGGTATCAATAGGTAAGTTAAACAATACTATTTTTCCTTATAGACAGTTCTGTTTTAAAAAAATTATTATTAGTATTATTGAGACACACAAGACAATTGTGAGAAATTGTCGCCTTTCTTAATAATAAACTCACTTAACTGTTTAAGAAGTACTTCTGAAGTAAATAATTTTGGGAGATATAACTTGGCAGAGTCAAATCCTCATGGATCAGCTTGCGTTGATCGCGCTATGTAATGAATTGGCAGAAGTTATAGTTCATCGGATGGCATTTGGATTGGGTCCCAGTGGCTCAGTGGTCTACGAGCTAGCTCGCCTTTTAACCAGAGTTTCCGGGATTCCAACTCCAGTAGGTGCGTGTTACTAAAGAATCCCAAACTAGGACTGAGGAAACAGCTGTCCACTACCCCCAGGTATTCCAGTGGTTCTCTAATCAATGTCAGCTCATGATCAAATTCTGTAAGAAATGAGTTAGCTTTCTGATCTATTTAGTTTTGTCTACCTATGCCAGCTACTACCTCTCAGACATTGTCTTCACCTGGCTGGGGCCGTCCTCACAAAAGTCAAAGAGCGAATGACAACGTCTGGTGTTTATAACCCCAGTGGTGGGTATTCACATGTACCTAGGAGAGCTAGAAAACCCTGATTCCAAATCTTTGATGTTTATAGGCTCCAGGCAACGAAAGGAATTGAATGGCATATGAACCTATTTTGATCCTAGGAAATCATGGGGACGTAGCTATTGAAACTGCTTCGTTCAAAGTCTCACTAGTAGGCTCTTAATACAACCGCCTGCTTCCCTGTGCATGTCGTGGCAGTATTTTAGCCCGTGTACAAATCATGCGATTTTGTGTATGGCATATCTCTTGGTGCCTTTAATATACCAAGTTTGTGTTCTCTTAGTAAAAATTATTATCATTATGCCTTAGACCACCCGATATTTTGACCATTTCGATCTAATCAGTTAATTTTATCAATGAATAAGAGTAGTTTTCGGCTACTTACAAAGATTACTAGTAGTATGTACTGCGTGAAGAGAATAATTTATTCGCAATCCTTCCCATATTCAGTTTATTTCAATATCTGTTTAATTTTAACCAGGCGAACTGCTGACGTAAGAGCTGTTGGTTATGCTGAATTATTTGTCCTTTCACGTGAAGATATATTGAAAGCCCTCAAAGATCATCCTGAAGCCGAGGTATGTTTATTATTATTATTGTATGCTTTAATTCCTAGAGGAACATAGGGCTTTAGCCGCGCGTCTCCATTGCCTTCGGTTTTCTGCCAAATTTTTCACCCCGCTCCAAAACTGCCCACACGCTTTCATCTCCTCTTCACATCACACCCTCCAAATCACCCTTGCACTGAAGACCATTTCGCCGCTTCCCATTCGGGTTCCACTTGAGCAATTGCTTGTCTAGTGATGTCACTTGATGCTTTCCTCAGAGTATGGCCAATCCATCTCCATTTCTTCCTGCTTATTTGTTTCACAATCGGTTCCTGCTGTGTTGGTTCACTTATTGCCAGAGATCCCTGTTTCTGATCTTTTCTGGCCGGCCATCTGATCTTCAATATTAAGCGAAGACAACTGTTAATGAAGGTCTGAAGTTTGAGATGCTCTTTATGACGCACAGTTCAAGTCTCTGATCCGTATAGTAGCACTGACTGACTTCACATTGGAGTTGAAAATCCGGATCTTATTTTCATTTTGATGCTGAGCGCTGTTGACTTCCACACAGACTTAAGAGTAATGAAGGCTTGTCTTGCTTTCTCGACCCCCACTGCTTTGATATCCTCGTCAGTTCTATCTGCCTGTAGTTGAAACGACGATTCGATGGTGTGTAGGTAAAGGAGATTGTTTCTCCCAGGTTCCTCCCATTTCTGCAGGCTGATTGTTGTCTGTTGTTGTTGTTGCTGTTGGTGTTGGCCAGGAATCTTCATCACTTCTTTTTTCTCTATGTTCAGCTGAAGAAAGGCGTATCTTTGATGCTTGTTCTGCCAAATGGTTGCTCTTCACTTGCATATCTTCCAGTTTTTGTGGGAAATCAGACATATATCATCGGCGGAGTTCAGATCCTGCAAGTTGTTTGTGTGAGTCCATTTTATGCCAGTTTCGTCGCTGCCCGCCGCTGTCCGTCGCATTATCCAATCTTTTTTTACATAGTGGATACTACATATATACTTTTTACTCTAAATAACTTACCATTTTAGCTTAAATAACCATTAATAACCTTTTAAATCGTCGAGCATTATTCACTGCTATACTGACGACATCTTTCTAAGAAAGGATGTGAAACAACAATTTTTTCAATTGTTGATTTAGCACAGATTTGATTGAATTTGGGATTGATCTGAAGTTGACATCAGTTCAAGAACCACTGGAAAATGAAGGTCCGACTAGGTTTCGAACTTAGGACCTTGTGTTATTGCTCTTAGTACCACTGGAACTCCACCCAATGACCCATAAATTCCAACCTTTGCCATTCAGAGACATACAAAGCAAACTACAGCAGTGAATATTAATATGTGTTTCTGATCGAAATTAAAACACATCATGAAAGATTTCATTGAGAAATGGCATGATTTTGAAGCTTGCCAAAGCTGAAAGTGTACTCGTAGCTTAGAACTGTTAAGTTGTTCATATCCATGATTCTGATATGTCTCAAAGTTTATGAACATTATTTTTGATTGCAAACTAGTCAGTTTCTAGTGTAATGTGTCTACTCCTAGCTTCACTGAAGACTGAATTCTATCCGTCAAGCTTGCAATGTGGTCACCATGCTAGGTGGCTCGCCATTACGGTGCCTATTGCCTTCAACCATCTAATGCCAACAATTCACAGTACACCGTAATGGTGAGCCACCTAGCATGGTGACCACATTGCAAGCTTGACTGTAGATAGAATTCAGTCTGCAGTAAAGATAGGACTAGACAGACACATTACACTAGTTATTGACTAGTGTGCAATCAGAAATATCCAATACAGTCCGACAGGAGGTCAATCGTGAGCCTGAATAGCTCAGTGGTAACGTCTCTGACTGCAGAACTGGTTGACGCGGGTTCGAATCCCAGAAGGCAGGTGAGTTCCTTCAAGGTTGCAGGTGCGCTTTGATGATGAGTGCCAACTAGCATGAAACCTAGGTCATGCAAGGCTTCCTGTCGCCGATTGCCTCCAACCATCTTATGAACGCTGTGTTTGACTAACCTATCAGAGTAGGAGATTGTGCAAAAAACCTCAGTGGTTCAAGTTGCCATACTTTATAAAAGTACACATAAAAGTTGAGAAATGGAATGCTGTGGAACAATATTTAGTGAAAATGTATGATGGGGGGGGGGAACATCAGATAGAAACGAGTGAAGATTTTCAGAAAAAGGGATGTCAGCATGAAGTGAAAATATATGTTTCAATTAGAATAAGTTTGAGCTGCATCAACAACGCGCTTCATTCGGTAATTCCTCACATCCGAAGTTTCTCAACCAATAACACTTTATTTTTACATGTAAACCAAAAGCGGATAGTCAAATATTTCACATATTATTGGCAAATTTTTGTATGACTTCGAATCCCAACACCAACAAGAAACCATCATCAAAGAAAAGTTCTCTGGAGATGCTTGGCTGTAAAAGGAATGCCGAGAAAATATATTGAAATGATTAAGGCACTCTACTCGTACTCATACAGCCAGGTGAGGGCTTACGGCGAGCTGTCATCTGAACTGGTGACGACCAGTGGTGTCCGTCAAGGATGCCCATTATCCCCTTTTCTATTCAACTTCATCATAGATGTGTTAATGGACTTAACCCTAAGTGACTTCAGCAACTCAGGGATTGACTTGCTACCAGGGAATAATCTCGTTGACTTGGAATATGCAGACGATATAGTCCTTCCAGGCGAAGACGCTGACGAAATGCAGATCCTTCTAAACACCTTGAGCCGCAATCTACGAACAGCTAAAATGCTGAAACCGTTTCATATTGATATAGCACACAAGCCAGTCAAATTACTTAATTTGATATTATGCAAACCAAAAGATCCAACAGAAAAAGGTGATAAAATTAATACCATTTACAAAATAAATTGCATCTATGAACTGCAACAGACATTACATCGGCCGAGGTGGGCGTCACCATTTCGCATAAGAATCCAGGAACACAAATCAGGTGTGAAAAGACACGATATATATTCTTTCACATCAATGCATATTGACAATTATGGATACCAATTTGGTAATTAGAATAATGTCGAAATATTAAATAGAGAAACACCGAAGCGAATATGCGATTAACAAACATGTTAATAGAGACCAAGTCTACCAACTAATGAAAAGTAAATCATATGAAGAGAAAGTTTAAAATTCGAGTCAATAGAAAATGATCAATACATATGTAAAGATGGTTACTGGGAGACGCGATTATATCACTCATGAAGAAATTTAAATCATTTCACTTTATGCAAAATATTGCACTGAAGGTGTTGTCCAGCAGGACGACGAAGGCTCCGCAACTAAACCAATCAGCTCAGAGAAGACTATTAATTGCAAATCATTGACCATAGCTAGAAATCTTCTCTATCACGTTTTAGTTGTATTTTAGCTAATACTAGATTACCGAGGAATACAGTAGCTTGGCGAATTTAATACATTTTAGTTGCTTCAACTGATGCCTCTATACAAATTCACAGGATCACTTTATTATCGTCAAGTAATACAACAGGTCTAACCACATTGTTCGGCATTATACCGCATTAATTGATAGAAGAGAATTATACACGAATTTGCGTTTATAGAATTTGAAAGGAGAAGAGGCATGGATTCATTTTATTTTGTGATCTCTCTTCAGCTGTCTACAACCTATAACATTTAATACAGCATCTTTAAGTAGAACTTTAGGATACCTTTCTTTATCAAGACACATATCAGTCCTCCAGTAAGGAATACTCTAAACATAAGGACGATAAGTTGCCTTAAAGTATTATAAAAACATGGATATTGTTAGAACGCCATTTCTCGACGACAAATGATCAATGGATGTATGAAGAAGAAACTGTCGCTTTGGATCACTTCATCGTGTGTTTGTAAATTCACCTGATCCCGCAGAGCTAGTTGTATCAGTAGCACATAGCGCAGAATTTCCAAACGCGTCTCTGAACATTATCCGGCATGGTTAGCAAAGGACCATATGAGATTCCACACTGGTTTGTTTACTAGATGTACTAAATAATACTGTTTCACTGTGTGAAAAATCTAATGGAGAAACTAATATAGAATTAGTTACTACCACAGTGCCCAAGGTTTACACATTTAGTACCATGCGAGATAGTTACTAGCTCAATTCTCGATCATTTGGTGAACTCAAACCATGCAGCTCCACCAGAGTCGCCTTTCAAGATTATCTACAAAGTGAGGCTAAATGGTATAAAGGGTGTCAGGTTTCGGCATTTGTGTATGGCAGAGACGTTGGCAATTCCTCAAGACAAAGTTTTGTCCAGTATCGTATTCGACCATGATCTTAACCCCTTCATTAGTCGCTCCCTTTAAATTTCTTATTTTTTTTTAATGAATACTTTGCTTTTACTTTAATAATTAACTCACTATTATCATTCTCATATGTTCTTCTTGTAGGTTTTGTCAATCTCTTCACACTAGTTAAATAGACACTCAACTACCTTTATTCTCACTCAGTAGCAATGTTAACCTTATCAAGTTTCTAACGCTTTTTTCCTTTGTGCTTTTGGTTATCACGCAATTTATAATTTATCTTTACTTTTGATGCCATTTGTGAGTAATTACATGAATTATGTCGACTCGCATATTACTCAATAATGGACTACTTTGCATTTCTGTAAATACAAATACTGAGAGTGATGGGCAACTGTTTCGTCCTAGTTTGGAACTCTTCATGAGTACGCACCCACTGGGGTTCGGACCAAGGACCTACAGGTTAAAAGGCGAACTCGTTAGAATCAAGGACCATTGGATCGGCTCGCATTGACTCAATGATCAACGAGTTCGCCTTGTAACTAGAAGGTCATGGGTTCGAACCCCCTGTGGTGGGTGCATACTGACGAAGAGTCCCAAACTAGGACGAAACTACTGGCTGTCCAGTACTCCCATCTGGTTTTCCAGTGGTTCTCCAACTGATGTCAGCTCATGATGAAATCCTCCATGTAATCAAACAAAATCCCTGCAAAACCATTAC